TGACCTGGATCCGCGTCCACAGGGTCAGGAACCCAGTCCTCTGGCTCGCCGGAGTCATCCTCGCTGTCCTGGCCGGTCTCCAGGCTGGCCGGGTCCGTCTTGGACAGCTCAACAGCCAAGTCCCCCGTCCCATCCGAGTCCCCGGTCAGCCCTGCCACGATCTGCCGCACCGTGTCCTCCCGCGTCCTGCCAGGCACGAGGCCCTCACCGCCTGTCCCACCCGAACACGGGACCCCACCTGACCCCTGCAGCCAGGGCCGTCAGTCACGTGCTAAAGGCAAGCCCATGAGACTCCCTCCCCCGCCCTGCCACCCCTAAAACTAAACCATTTTCTAGGAGTAGGAGCTGAGATGACAAGACAGACACAAAGCCAGGCCACGCCCGGCCAGGAGGCAGCAGGCCTGAGTCAGGGCAGCTCCAGACACTGCTTGGCCCCATCCTCGAGCCTCCACTGTGCGCTTAGGGGTTTCTGGGTGGCTGTGCATGGTGCCTGCTCAAACACATCCCCCAGTAGACAGCCCGAGAGGCTCTGCTCCTCTTGGTAGAAGGCCAGCAACGCAAGGCCCCACCCTTCCCGTCAGCCCTGGGGCCAGGCTGGCACGAGGCAAAGCAAGCAGGGCCACCTGTCTGTGCTGGTGTGGGCCCTGCGGCCTGCACACGGGCCCGGTGACCCTGGGCCACAGGCGTGGGAACCAGCGATGGCAGGAGGAAGGAGCCCAGCCTGAGCTGCCCGGCCCAGGGGGACATGGAGCGTACCTGGCTCCCCAAGGACCACACCCATCTGGCTGCAGCAAGACCCACGGGGAGTGCAGCTGCACGAGTGGGGCCCTGGAGCTCACCTCAGGTAGCGGCGAATGGGCTCACAGGCCACCTCCAGGACAACCATGGAGGGATCCAGCACACGTAGCGCCTTGATGGCGGAGATGTACAGGGTAATGATGTCACACGTATTCACGCCTACGGCCGGGACGGGAGAGCTCCATCACAGAAGGGCCCAGGCAACACAGGGACACGGAAGCAGCCACCCTGGTCAGGTGACCTGCAAGTCCCACCTCAGCCCCAGGAGACCCGCGTGATCTGCAGGGAGCTGTCCCCGCCGCTACCCCTGCACTCACTTGCTTTCTTCCCTTGCAAAGTGGGGTCTGTTCTAAAGGGACCGGGCACTGCCCCTGCCCCCGCAGGACCACACAAAACTGCCTCTAAACCCACTCCCTCCACAGGCCCCAAGCCTGGGCTTCCAGATCCGGGCCCTGAGGGTGAATGGCGGGTGGGCCTCGCCCCAGTGGCACCTGGGTGGAGAAGTCGCGTCTCCAGGGCAGCCTTGAGGGACACAAGAAGCTGCGGCCTCTGGTCGGTCCTCTCCAGGCAGTACTTGAGGTCTTCCACGGCCGGCCGGGAGTCCGGGAAGTCTGCGGGGAGAGGCTGGTCCTGGTACATGTACGTGTGGCGAGCACGCACTGTGCGCGAAGGGCCCAGGTGTGCCTGCCGCCCACCCTCAATGAGCTGAAGGCAGAGGCACGGGAAGGCGGCTCCCCGGCAGGCGGGGCCGACCTCGGATGATGCTGAAGAGCTCCTCGATGCGCAGGCCGGCGTAGATGCGATAGAAGAACCTCTGCACGTGGCAGCGCCACCGGCGCAGGGAGCTCCCAGCCTCTGGGGACGCAGGCCTGCCAGGGCCGTCCTGCAGGAACACCTTGCCCAGCCAGCCGACCACCCTCTCAATCCACTGTCGGGAGAACACAAGTGTGGGACTCTGGGGGCCAAGCCCAGAACAGAGACGAGGAGAAGCCACACAGCTACCCGCCCCTCTGGCTGGGCCCTGGGAGCCCCCAAGGCCACCTACTCTGAAAACCAGGAGCACGTTAAAATCAGCATGACGAGGGGCCCAAAGGAGGCCTCCCAGGGCCTCCACCAACACACACCCAGGCCCCTTGCACACACACCAGCACCCGTGCTCATCCCCAGCAACAGTGGCTCTGACACAGGGCGCTACGTCTGAGCGGATGGACACACTCTGGGGGTCCCGTGCACAACGAGACCCCCCCCACGCACAACCCACAGCACCTAGCGGGACCGCTTCTGAGCCCGTGCACATGAAATCTACAGGACGCCCTACTACAGAGACCCGAGAGCGTACATGTCTTCCCACGGCCGCCCAGCCAGCGGAAAGAGTACCCCGACGATGCGCCGCCTACAGGGACGCGGCACAGCTACCCGCCGGACCTCCAGCTTCACACCCCCTTGCCCCGCCCCGTGGCAGGGACACTTGCTTTGAACACCACCCCTCACCCCCACAGCTTACCTGCATCCTCAGAAGACAGATAGCAGGAGCAGGGGAGGGGAGCAGCTGGGAAGTGGGAGTGGGCTGAGGCCCCCCGTGGTTGGGTGCAGCTCTTCCTCAACTCTGTGCAGCCCAGAGTAGATCCCAGACCATGTCCCAACAGCGTGGATGCCCCGAGGCCCCCCACTGGGATACCCCAGACCTTGGCATGGCCTCCAGCCACGTGGCCCCGCGAAGACCTCACTAAGCACGTCACAGACTCCTCCCTCCACCAGGATGGGACCAGAATGACCGCCTCCACCCAGCACCAAGACGGCTTCCAGCACCAGCAACGTCCTGACGCACCCAGCTCTCCACGCTCTGGCCATTTCTAAAACCGAGGTGTCAGTTTTGCCAGAAACCTCTAACCCACAAGGACACAGCCCGCAGGGGGTCCTCACCTTGTGGAACTCACGCAGGAAGGAGCGCTCATACTCGCCCCGGCAGCGGTCCTCCATCCTCTCCCGGGTCACTTGGTGCAGGGTGGTGGTCACAGCCTCGGCACTGACCCGCTCCAGCAGACTAAGCCTGTGTCTGGAGAACAGCCCTGCCCATGGAGACGCAGAGCACACGCACACGCGCCCAAGCCCACCCCAGCACGCGCCGCCCGCAGCTCTTCTATCAGGGGCACAGCTGCAACAGAGGCTTCGAGGAAAAGCTGCTGTGAAGACAAGCACTGGCCAACGACCGCCCGCCCCCCCAGCCGGCCTCCCTGCCCAGGCCGGGACACTAGCCTTCCCCACGTGGTCAGCACATCTGGCTACTGGGGCCAAGGCTCACCTCCCAGAAACAGCCCTGAGACAACGGCTAAATACGTCACTACCCTAGCTCCACAGACACAGATGCAGTTGTCTGTGCCCTTTGGTGCAGATGCCGATCTGTGAGGACAAAGGCTCCTGAGAGAACGAAGCTTCTGTGGATCCGGCCACACCCTCAGTCCAGCCAAGAGACTCTCTAACAGCTGCACTGCTGCCACTTCACTCAAAGGGACAAAATCATCATAAGTGACCACAGAGAGTGGAAGGACCACATGACAGGACCTGACCCTAACAACAAGATCTTTTCCTTCTAGACAGGCCAGAAGGGCAATCAGTTTGCCCAGCACGTTGGTCTAATCTCTGACTTGTTCTAGAGAGAAAAAAAAACAGTCACACCTTTTGTAACCACAGGATAAACATCATTTCTCTTCTGAGAGCCTACAAACAGCACAGCAAAATTCTGCACAGCTCAGGAAATTCAGAATCACGTGGAATATTAGCATAAGCAAAATGTGAAACCCTGAGCTAGGGCGAGTGACAGATGCACCTGTGTCCAGGGTGAAAGGTATAAACTCACAACACACGGATCCTGGGGACCCTCTCTTTGGCTACCAGGACAGGTGGCAGAGACCCCCAGCCAGCTCAGCAGCTCTCTGCAGGGGCCAGCTGGACCCAGAGGGGCAAGCAGGAGCCAGGAGGAACAGGGGCACGGCCACGCAGGCACAAGTACTCACAGGACTTGGCTGAGCTGGTGGAACTGCTCCAGCGCCTGGCGGCACCAGCACTGCTGCTTGTCACTGCCACATCCCGCACAGAGTGGGCTCTGCAGAAGGCGGTAGTACCGGCGGCGGGCGTATCTGCTGTCCAATTCTCCCTCCAGTTCGGGGTCGGTTCCTCCTTCTCCTCTTCTCTTGCTCTGCATGTAAACCCTCAAGAAGCGCCCATAGAGGCGCTGAATCATCTCCTGAAAAGCTCTGGGAGTGGAAAAGAACAAGACGCCCCGCAACGTGGTCTGAACCTTTTCCCGAAGCCCCTGAGCACCGGTGCCCATAAGCAAGCCCAGGCGAGTCCATTTCTCCAGGAGCTCTAGACTACGCAGGTAGGGATCCAAACGGCTCTCCAGGAGCCCGAAAGCATCGAGGAGCAGCAGAAGGCACTGGGGCTCGTCTGCACAGTTCTCACGTTGGGAGACGGCGTTCCAGAACTCGAGGCATATGTTACCCTGCAGGTCGTTCTGCAGCACCTCTGCAAACCACTCCTCCAGGACCGAGTGCAGACCGTGGCCCCTGAGAACCTCCACCGCCGCCCGGAGCTCCTCCTCCTTTGGAGGGACCGCACCGCTGGTCCGGGAGGATGCCTGGAGTACAGAAAACTGTAAGAAGAGAACACAGCGCAGAGGCGGAGAGAACAGTGACAGACGGAAACAGGCAAGGGACAAAGCACAGGGGAGGCTACGGAAACCCCGCTGCCCTTCGTCGCACGGATGCAGGGCCGGCGCTTAGGGACAGGCTGTGGAACAACAAAGGACTCTGGGGGAAACAAGCTGGACAGAAGCGGGCGGAGAGATCCGTAGGAACCCGAGAGTGGACGCGCGGGGTCCCGGGAACCCCGCACGGGCCCGCCGCCCTCTTCTCGGGCCTCACCAGTCCCAGAGCGGCCGGCGGCACCAGTCCGGTGCTCACGGTATTCCAGGCCACCAGCAGCTCTTGGGCAGGTCTGGGATCATTGTGCGCCGCCGCTTCCGCCGCCGCCATCTGCTCCCACCAGCTCCTAGAGCCGCCGGCGCGGCGCGCGGCGATGACGCACACGAGAGGCGCGCGGCGGTGACGTGCGCCGTGGACTCGCCGTCTGTAGGCAGTACGCAGGCGCGGGCCCGGATGCGGTAACGGCGGGTGGAGCGGCCGGGACCCCGGGCGGCGACGATGACCCAGCAGGGCGCGGCGCTGCAGAACTACAACAACGAGCTGGTCAAGTGTGAGCGGCCGAGCGGTGGGGCCCGCCGGGCAGGCTGGGAGGGCGTGGGGCTCGCCGGCCTGCGGTCCCGGGCAGTAGCTGGCCCGCAGCGCGCGGCCGAGCGTGTTGTACGGTCAGTGCGCGGCTTTCCGGGCCGGGGCGGCGCGGACGCCGTGCGGACCTGCCCAGCGCACAGCCGCGTTGTGGCCCGCCCCGAGGGCTAGGTATCTGTGGAGTGAGCAGAGGACGATGGGCTTGAGTACGCACGGCCTCCCGGCCTCGCGCCTCGAGCCTCGCGCGGTTCTTTCCTTAACTGAGACTCGTCGGAGGCAGGGCATTGGCCTGGCTCGGGCGAAATGTGGCCCATCCGGCACCCGGGTCCCCCACTATCCACTAGCCTTCTCTCCTCGAGAGCAGGGGGCTCCAGAGCTGGAGGGGCGGTGCTCTCCTTCCTGCCCCGGGCCCACCGCGCCTGTCTCTTTCGACCCACCCTTTCGGCCCACCCTAGGCATCGAGGAGCTGTGTCAGAAGCGGGAGGAGTTGTGCCGGCAGATCCAGCAGGAAGAGGAGGAGAAACAGCGGCTGCAGAATGAGGTGAGGCAGCTGACGGAGAAGCTGGCCCGAGTCAACGAGAATCTGGCTCGCAAGATAGCCTCTCGGAATGAGTTCGATCGGACCATCGCGGAGACGGAGGCGGCCTACCTCAAGGTGGGGCTCGGGGGCCCGCGTGCTGGGCCGAGCCCGTCAAGGGTTTCTGGCCCAGGGGTGCCTAGACAGGCTGTAGGCCCCCCGTGGTGACAGTACCGCGCTCAGAGTGACCTGGGTCCTGTTGTCGGCACCATACCCATCGCCGCGTAGCGGGTTCCGGACTGTGAGCCACAGAGCAGCAGCAGGGCCGGAGCTGACCTCGGCCTGGCTTCCCAGGGTGTGAGGAAGGGGTTTTGGGCCAGACTCAGGGGAGACGGCCCGGGAGGGGGGCCAGGCCGCGGGAGGTTTCCAACAGGAGGAGCAGTGCTAACCGGCTGGTGTCTCTGTTCGCAGATCCTGGAGAGCTCGCAGACTCTGCTTAGTGTCCTGAAGAGGGAAGCGGGGAACCTGACCAAGGCCGCAGCCCCCGAGCAGAGGAGCAGCGGAGGCAAGGACAGCTGATGAGGCCACAGGCGGAGGGCCTGCCTCCACTGCGCCCCCTCTACGGCTCAGCCCCCGGCAAGTCTGTCTTCAAAGCATCTTTGTCTTTCACGGCAGCAGCTTTTTCCTCTCGTTGTCTCGGGTGCCAAGAGAGGCAACTGCCAACCTTCACTGGCTCTGGGTGACAGGAAAGACCTGAGCGTAGCCCACCAGGTGGGGATCCTGGCTCTGAGCACACACAGGCGCTGGGGAGGGCAGCTCTACTCAGGGTCCCACTGAGGCCTCCACACCAGCCTGGGGCTGCGGGGAAGGCCCACTTCTGGTCTCAGCACCTTGGGAGTCCTGTCACCCCTCCCTCGGCCCGCAGGTGCCCAGGCAAGTGTGGGAGGGGCTGGGGCCCTCCTTCACCTCAGAGCTTGCCTGGGGCCTGTGACTGTCAGTAAAGATTGTCTTTGTAAAGATCCACGTCAGCCTGCTGCCTGTGTCAGGAGTGTGGGGCTGCCGGGCCCCACTAGAGTCAAAATACGAATCCTTGTCCAGTTGTAATATGGCTCTTCCGTGAAGGGATGGCTTTCCCTGGGACTGGCCTTGTGTTCAGAGCTAAGGGTGCCCCTAAGCGTTTCATGTGACCCCCGTCACCCACCCCATCAGGGAGGGCCACTGGTCCTGGTTTAGGGAGACTCTCTTCCTGCGCTCAGGTCCCCTGGGAGTGGCTGTAACCCAGCTCAGTAATTCCAGATTCTGCCGGACAGCAGCACCCCTGCTCCCACTCTCTGGTCACAGGCCAGTCTCCCATGCAGCCCAGGGCCCTGACTTCCATCCTGAGTCCTCCATGGGTCCACCTGCCTTGGCCTGTCAGCCCCCATGGGGTCCCTGCAATTGCTGTCCGTGGGGGATAGAAGGGTTGGGAAGCATGTGTTGGTTGAGAAGGCGTGCAGAAACTTGGGCCCACCATTCCCAAGAAAATGCCTTCCTCCCTCCCAAGCCTGACCAGGTGGCATTTCCCGTGGGCTTGATGCTCCAAGAAGAAAAGACTTGCATCTGATGCCAGGGTTGTGAACGGCCTGTCTCGGCACAGGCAGTCAGCCCAGCCAGGAGCCGCTCCCTAGTGGGCAGCTCTGTTTTCTGTCACCTTTCCAGACCCATCAGACCTCCCTGTTGACATTATCCCAGGGGAGTGGTCTGCCTGCCACAGCATTCCTG